TTTCTGATGTAACCCAACAGCTCTTCAAAAAAAATTGTAGCTCCCAAAAATTCTTCAGTTTAGACCACAGAATTGTACTGAAGTTCAAGAACAGAATATTAATTCCATATCTTCTAAGCCTTCCAAAAAAATTAACATTTAAAAAACAGCCTACAGACAGCACTGCAGTTGACTGTTCCTGCTCCTGAAGGTCCATTAAATGAACATACTTTCTTAGAAATAACAAGCTGGTCACCAAAAGGGAAGTCAAGGAGTAAGGGAGCATTATCCTTCCCTCTGCATTTTCTGTGCTCATTCAGTTGTGTCACGATTTTCATGTCTGACATTTCTCAGTTTTTAATTTATATAAACATGATTATGGAAGTATTTACTTCAAGAAAGTACAGTGATGCTGAAAGGCAAAGGCTTTTTGTCTTGAGAACCTATTTACCTTACACTCTAGCAGAGTCCCATGTGTAGAAACCCCTTTATATCTGGCACCTCAAATCAATACTCATTTCATTAATTTCACTTGGTCTTCTCTTTGAGATATTTCATCCTGACAGTTCACTTCCCTGATACACCCCATAAAAATCCAGGCTAAAATGTGCCAAGCTCTTTCAGTAGTACAAGCCCCACAACAAATACAATGGCCTCTCCTAGTAAATACCTCAAAAGAGAATCCCTAAATGCAGTTTGCTTGGCGATAGCAGGTATCGGGAGTCAGGTATCAGATGTCTGAGCTGCACCAAACACAGATGCTGGTGGTGGTGGTGTACGTTGTGTACTAAAAGCTGTCCTCCATCTTCCTGGAAGAAAAGGTCAGTACAGAGAGAGAGCCTACCATGATCCGTGCAGCCCAGCTCCCAGCTACCAGTTCCAAGTAGTTCATGTATCACTGGAGTTGCACATACTACCACTGAAAACACCTGACTTAGAAGATGAGACCTACCTTGCACCCTGGTCTTGAGGTTTAATTGCTCAGGGAGAAAGGGAGAGACTTCATTTGAAAGCTCTGGAGGACACTGACTAACACCTCCTTTCCCTTTCCAGACATTCCAGGCATCTCATTGAGTTTGGCATCTGGCTCATGACTTCAGATGCGAGGCCCACTGGCACTAAGAGATTTTCATTCTTCAGCATGTTGTCCATCAACACGGGAACATAAACCCTTTCTGTTCTGCCTACGTTTTATGCAAAACTATACCGAGATCCAGAAAGATACGCCAGCTCTGCAGCAACATCCAACCTGGACTTAGTACTCCAGGAAGAGCCTGTGGGCTCAACCACTGTTCAGATCTATGGAAGACGTTAGATTTACTACCTACAAACCTCATATTTGACAGTGAAATCATGTATACCACCCTCAGAGAGCGAAACAACTGGAGTAAAATGTATTCCAAATGCAGCATTTATTGTCCTGTAATCTGGTGATGCAGCTGAAACCAAGTCCCCCAACTGTGTAGTCAAGAAGATACCAGCCTTCATGAACTACCATGAAGTGCTCCCCAAACTACAAGCAAAGACTCACTCCTCCCTATTCACTGCTTATTCCTCTGCCTCTTTTTTTTTTTTTTTTAAGAGTTTTTTCACTGAAAAGCATCAACATTTAGAGATCATACCTTCAGGAAGAACCATCTAGCAAGATGAACTGCCCCAAACCAAGGACATTCTTTGACAAGTCATTTCCAAATCCTATTAGTCAGAAAAAAGCCATTATTTAAGTCAGTGTTAGAGTCGCTACCTAGACTCCGTTATTCATAAAATACCAGGTTTCCAACAGAGTAGGTTTCAAGTAGTAAGCTTTTGGTTATTACCATCTTAAAATAAATCTCCTAAAACATGTTTTACAAGCATTTTTCTACTCTCCAGTGATACTTCAAAGTGCTTGGGCCTGTGAAACAATATGCAAACTACAGATCACATGCAGAAATCCTTAGTTTCAAGCAATAGCTTGTGTGCTCATTTGAGACTAAAGAGGGGCCACGACAAATTTAGGAATCAAAACCTTTCCACGTGTGAGGGCTACTCCATTTTTCCACTCCCTACTCATCCTCCATGTAAAGGCATCTATCTGCAGCTTGCTCTTCTCAGCTTTATTGAGCGTGTTGCGGATAACTTTTAGATGGACCTAAGAAGCAGACAGGCACGTGAATTTTGCCCCAGAACAACACAGAGACATGAAGACGACTGCCTATGGCTAAAGCCCAGACCCTTGTCCACAGGAAAAACACAGTCCCAAACTCCTTCAGCCAACTAGCATTTAAGGCTCCTAACAATAGGCCTGTGACACCTTCGGGCAGCAGGATGACATTTTAGTGGTGACGTTAGTGTGTGTATCTCCACCTTATGCCTGGACCCCGTAATGCCAAAGGTAAAGCAGAGGAACTGCATCTCCGAAGGCTTGCTGCCTACGGAGCTATATATAGCCCAGAAGTGGTAGGGAAATGGTTGAAGTGGAAGCCCTCAATAATCCATGACCTTGGGCAAATAATGAGGTAGGCTGGAAGAGGAGGTTGGTTCTCATCCCGTCCCCATTACTAAGAATCCTCCCTGATAGAAAATGTATTCATATAGGAGGAAATAATAACAAAAAGAAATACAATAGTTGTCCAGAACACTTGAAATCAACAGCAACACGACAGCAAGGGAAAACAGTGAATTACTATCATTGTTTCCAAATGCCTTGCTAAAAATACTAATTGAAAGCGGTTCATCATGCAGCTTGCATGACACACATGATTTCTGATGCTAACGTTTCTGTGTAACCATTTTAGGAAGCTGATTTTTAGCTTTACAAATGATATAAAAATATTACCTAGAGAACAAAATCTACTAATAATCAATTCTATGAAGAGGAGAAAACAATACTTGCCCTGAACCTTATGTGTCTTATGGGGTACGAATCCTCCTAATTGATTACAAGAAAATCCGTGACAGCCATGACTTTATTACCAGTCCATGATTAAATACATATCATGCCTTCATTAGCAAAAATTATAGATGGGAATAAAACAGATGTCCTAAACACATCCTGCCAGAGTACTTGCCAATTCAAATTTCCTTGTATTAACTCTACCTGATGCCAAACTGGCTGCAAAAATATCATAGTTTTTTTATTTAGGTTGTTATCAGTAGTGTACTTTGAATCCTTTGTACTACTCCATCAAAAAAACCCTCCATCTGAATTACCACTTACATTACTGCTGATAGAACATTCTTCCAATGGAACCAGTATACTCCATTTTGAAAAAACACATAGAATTTAGGACTCCTACCTTGGAGGCATCATCAGATGGATCCAAGAGGGAGGGCTCACCACTGTGCAAATACTGCCTTATTTCCTATCCTGGGAAAGGACTAGAAGTATTTCTTGACCCTTAAATATCTCCTGAACCCTGGGAACTAGAAGTCTGGAAACTAGGAGAAGCAATTCTCTGATAAGCAAACATGACTTTGCCTGTAAAACAAAACCTGATTGCCTAATAGAGCCTTCTTGATGTTTGAAAGAACAAGTTTATTGTCACCTGCAAATGTGTTTGTCAAGGCATAAAGAAATCTCATTTTCCTACCTTTCAAGCAGTAGTAGTGTTCTGAAAATACAAATCAGCAGAAGAGATAAAGGCAAAGAAATTAAGCAAAAGGATCACACACAGAAGTCAAAAAAAAAAAAAAGGAAAAAGGAACGGATAATTATGCTTTGAATTCTTTTGGATTTATGCAGCTAAAATCTGTCTTGAGAAATTCACTGGAAAACATGGTCATTGTTGGCTCTTAAGACATTACTATATAGCAAATTAATAATGCAGGAGGCATATGTCCCATGCCCGTGAGACTGCAACATCACACCTTTACATATTTATGAGATCAGTGACAATGACTGACAAAGCACGCACACATCAGGCAAGTGAGCCTTTTAAAACACTCCCTCTGTGGGCAAAGACCTGAGCTATTTCAGTGGAGGCAGAACTACTGAGTTCTGAGACCTCTGAAAAATCTGAATTTAAAGCACTAACTGGTCCTTTTTTGCAAGTGCTATGGCTTTGATATTCATTTCCCTCCTTAACAGCTACATTTGTGTTCACCTAAGAAAAAAACCCAAAAGATTCAGAGCACGTACACTGCAAAAGCTTGTTCCCTATTACACCGCACAAGACAGAAATGAGATTTTTGCTTTGTAGAACACCTTTACCTCTATTGGTCACTGATTACCAATACAGAAATTAAATCCCAGATAATATTTATGTTCCAAACACAAATATCATTCAGTTACATCAGTCTCCATATTTAGAACACCTCGTTTCTTTCTCCCTTACAAACTTGCAGCTTCCCTAAAACAAGTGAGGTTGTAGCAAGGACAAAATTTACGGGCACGTTATGCAAGGCTGAAATGTTTCTAGGGCAATATTTTATAGCCCCTTAGAGTTCCATACATAGTATTTTACTGTGTACTCACAGAGCATTTATTTACACACGTGTCTGAGGTTTTCTGTCAGGTTTAAAGTTCAGAATTCTCTCCACTAATCTAATTTGTCCAGGATGGATGGCTTCGCTTTTTTCCTTTGGAAAACCAATGCTGTTACACTGTTTCCAATTCTTCCTCCAAAGCAAAATTTGGGTGTTGGCAGCTCCTCCAGAATTTCAAATCCTGCCAGACAGAAATTAAAATGCTTTTATTAGAAGGAAGTAATTTTATTCTCCTCTTGGATAACCCTTTGCAAACCATTCTTTATTTGTCTGGAAAACTTGCAAGTCAGTTAGTCTGTAAGTTTATAGGACTGTATTGTTACACTGCACTGCTGCTTTATACAGCTGAAACCCTTCCGTGGATAATAAAAATCTTAGCTGGCTGACTCATGCAAATTAATGGCAGAAAAGATGATAACTTGCCAGTAACTTTAGCTCCCCAGAAGGGATGGTTGTTTTAGATCCTCACTGAGTTTCAAGCCTCAGGCATGAGACTCGAGAGCTAACCGCTATGTAAAAAGCACCCTTTCCAGCAGATCAGGAAGGGTGCTGAGGAGGTGACTTAAAAGGTCAGTCACAGACGTGCCAGTTCCCCTAAACATGGATAACAACGTTACCCCAACTTCAAAGCAATCAGAGGGGTGAAGTAGAGCTGGTAACAAAGGACCAAAAGAGAAAAAGTACCACCCAGGCATAGAACCCCCTCCTTTCCCAGTGTAACTAGACTGAAATCCTTGTTCTCCAAAGCATAACACCTGTCCTCCCTCCGCACGTTGCCACTGGCAAACGCAGAAGCTGTAATTCCTGTGGAAAACGGAGGGAAGATAGGCTGAAGCATCTACTGGTCACTTTACCTTGCCTAATTCTGACCTGAGAAAGTCAAAATGTTACCACAGACATTAAAATTTAACTCATCGCATCCTTGAACAACTGTGAGTTGGCAGAGGGTTCTGCTCGACCGCTTACCTTCTCTGAACTCGTTCAACAGCTCCTCCTTAGTCCAGTTGCAAGATGTTATGAGGAAAAAGCCCTCTGGTTTCAACACACTGCAGAGAGATCCGACATACTGCTTCCTCTTTCCCACCGCGTTATCGGGATTAAGGCTTATGGCATCAAAAGTCCCCTTGTCAATGCAGATCTCAAATCCTGACAGCTCAGCTGATGGAGCCAGGAAGTCTTCTACCTAAACCAGAAGTCTACAACTGTGAAAACAATCTTCTACTCAGGAGCTCCTGAATCTTTAATGAAAGCCAACACTTCAAAAAGCCTCAAACCTGACGATAGGTGTGCTTAGGAAAGAGTAACTCACAGGCTTTTCACACTTACAATGCCATGTCAGCTTCTTTCTTCTCTACATGTTATGTGATGATCTATTTGCTGTAAAGCCTGGGTATATACCTATCCATCTAAAGCTCAAATTAACATGAAGTTCATTCTTTAAATCATTATTTGTACTTTGTACTGGTTTCCTAGGTGTTGCGTGCAAGGCACTGTACAAATACAGACTAGACAGTGCCTGCCACAAAGAGATGACAACTGACATACAAGAACAGAAACATCACACAGGTACAGAGCTGGAGGGTAAAACTGAATAGCAGAGAGAGTTCAGAATGAAAGGCAGTCACAGAATCACAGCACGGCTGAGGCTGGAAGGGACCTCTGGAGGTCATCTGGTCCTAGCCCCTGCTCCAGCAGGGCCTCTCAAACTTCCTGCTGCACAGCCACTGGTAGGGATTCTACCATTTAAGGATTTCATCCTCCATCTCAAATCTGAAATTCGGAACGTAGCAGTGAAAATACAGAACTCGCCAAATGGCGAACTACTATCCTGCTCTCTGCTAGAAGCAGGGAAATCTTGTCAGGAAAAAAAAAAAGACCAAAAATCTTCTTGTAAATAGAGATTTATTTGTTTAGAGTTCTCTCACAAAAGAATGTCAAAAGAATTCATTAATATAGTACACTGAGCACATCTGAATATCAATTAGGTCATTTAATCTTGGGTTCAATTGCTTTCTGTTTCCACAGTAAACTCTCTCTCAAGACTTACCTTTAATTTAATGTTAGGCATCCCTTCTTTCTCTCTTACTTTTTCTGAAAGTTGAATTGCAGAAGGAGAGTAATCAATCCCAGTGAGATTCGTGTAGCCAGACTTTGCCTAGACAGAAGCAGAGATTCTTAATCAGTGCTAGCAATTTTTTTTATCCAACAAGTGTATTCTCTATCTATAAGCCATCTCGTCTCTCCTCCTATGACAGAAAAAAACCCCAACCTTTTACTCACTTTTATTTCTGTTACCATTACATGAGCTAAATAGCTGAAGGAATGAGGTGAAATAACTCCACTCTGCCTAAGATCTCATCAAAGGAACTGTTGACTGAAAGCTGGTTTATGTCAACAAGTAGAAAACCGAGCAGAACTGTGAAAAGTAATACCCTGAAGGGGAACAGGCTCTCTTATCTGCACCAAAAGTAACCTAGAAACCAGGAATTTTCAGTGATGAGAACATGTGCTGATGCTTCAAAATAAGAAGGAAATCTCTCTGACACTTACATAACATTTGAGATTGAGCAATTACTTGGTTTATAACCCGAACTGTATGAGCCAAAATATGTAACACGTTTTATTAGTACAGAAACCCACTGCAAAACCTTACATTTTTCTGATTATTCATGCTGTTGTCTCTTGGAATGCAATTATTTGCACGCTACAAGGCCTTTGTATCAGCAATTTCCAGGCAGGTTACGCACCACGTAAAAGCATACAGAGACCTTCTGTTAATCTAACTTGGGAATAGATAACGACAACCCAGTTCAGCAAACTGGGAGGAAGGCAGTGGCACATTTTCACTGTGAGGAAGAAGCTGAAGCGACCAGGTCCGAGTATCGCATGTGTCAGTTGGTCTGGCTAGACCCAAACCTACCAGGAAGAGCTATGATCTTATGGCCAGCTGCAGGCAGCAAGAGCAGAGGGAGGGAGGAGGCTTGGGTTTGTTGTGGATTTGAACAATACATGGACTTTAACTAGCATTAAGCAATCAGCTGCATATCTACGCGTTCCAAAGGATGACACCTCAACAGCAAGGAAAACCACGAGAATTTTTTAAAACAGTCCCTCCTCCTTCCAGCTGCCCTTCAGCCTGTGTGAGCTCAGGGCTAGGCAGCTGTTCTTAATTGAGGACTAATTTCAGCTAAACACAAAGACCGTGTTGTTTGCAGCTGATGAAGAACAGCATATTGCTCAGGCTTCTGCCCACGTTCCTCCCCAGAGCAAACCAAGCTTCCTGAGATGCCTGCGCTGAAGACTTGGGGGTGGAAGAGTAGTTCCCACAACAGCTCCTCTGTTTGGAAAGGAAGAGCTTGAGTCACTTCAGGGAGTTCCCATTCACTCCTATAGTCTTCGGGGCAGAGGAGGAAAGTTTAAGGATAAACAACATTAAATGCTGCTAAACCTGTATGGCCTGACTACGTACGGCCAGGAAGGGATCATTCACTCAAGTGCAAAACACGACCACGCCACATCCAGCAGCTGGACTCCTGTCCTGGAGGTGGTATTTACAAGCACTCTTCTGCTGCTTCTTGAAAAAGCAGATTAAATAGCAGAAGGTAGTTTGCAATGTTATCGGCACCACCCCATGCTTGGGCTTCTGGTGCTGCCAGGTAGAACACCTTCACTTGGGTGGTGCATACCTTTCACTTCTGAGAAGTTTTTCAATACTCTTGGCTCCTACAATACCCAGGAAAAAAAAAAAAAAAAAGACGTCAGAGCTCCATGTGGCAGCAACATTTCTTAGAAGAGGGGGAATTTTTGAAGACAGAAGAATTAGGTCACCAATGCAGCCTACCAGATTCCTGAAGTTAGCAGAGGTAGGACCATGGGCACATGTAAAAACAGCAAGAGGTCCCACTTATGTGTCAGAGATCCTCAAAGCAGGCAGAAAAAAGAGAGGAAGCCTTCAGCAGCATTTCTCCTGGAGCTCACAGACGGGCAGATCCCTGCAGTGTGCGTGCACAAGACATCTAGCTGCGTGCTGGATGTTTTGCCTTCCAGCCAGGCAGTGGGGTCAGTTTCCACAGGACACAGCAGTTTTCACTTCACTGCCTGCTTTTCAGAGCTGCTCTGTCCCCTTTTTGTGCAATACTCCCTGGTGGAACTGGCAATGTCTCACTTAGACCTAGCTGCATTTAAGAGTAATTTTCTTACTATTTGCTGTTGATAGAATGCCAGGGCCCAGTATTCCCCAAGGAACTGCACTCTGGGGCACCTCTTCCTGTTCTGATGATGGTCTGACACGTACCCCAGCAGTTACCTTGTACAGAGGTGCCACTAATGTCCTGTATGACTGAAGTCTGACTGCCTTTTTCAGTACTGCCATTTCGATCACATTGCCAAGTCTAACTCCGGTGGCAGAACTGTGCTATGGTAGTCAGAAGAATCCTGACTTGATTTTCAAAGCCTAGCAGCTCACACACACAAAAAAGTCTTTTACATCAACTAAGCAAGAGAGATCCTGAATTATTTAGAAACAATAAGCAATATAATTTTTGGAGTCACTTTTCAAATGGGAACCGGACTGAAAATTTCCTATTAAAGCAACCACAGTACTTTAAGGTGCTTAATGTAAGGGGGGGGTTGTGTGCTCTCATGGCAATCTAATAGTTTTTAAAAGCTCACAGCCTGTCATTTGCCCATTACAGAATAAAAAACAATTTCAGATTTGTAAGTGGCGCCAGCATAAAACTGAAGTCTTATAAATACGTTTTTTCTGTTAGATGTTTCAACAGTGATAGAGCTAGTTAGCATTGCATTTAACAACCATCGCTATTAGGCTTCAAAATCCATTTCTTTTCATGAGATAAACAATTTCTACTTTTGATGATGTGATTTCTCCCATGCTGCAGCGTGGCAGCCAGTCCCCACAATGGCTTTAAACTCTTCTAAAAGCAAAGTTCCTACTAAAATAAATACCATTATAAACCTGACTTGGACTTCCATCCCCTTCCATCCCTACAGCGACTAATGGAGCCAATGGAGAATGTAGAACAACAGGAACTGTGACAGTACGACAGCTCCTTTCTTCACCAAACCTCCTGCATCAGCCAAAACCAGGGAAAAAACATCACAGCTCCTGAACAACTTGTATCACTGGAGAACACAACACAGCTGGTAAGGGGTTTCCACCCTGACAGAAATGGGTGGAAAAGAAGTGTTAACCACTTTTTAAGTCATTCACATAAAAAACTTGGGTTTAACCACTTTTTACATCGATAATGAGTGTTATCATCAGAACTGAGTACAGAGAAAGGGTCTGCTTTTGCACATGAGAGTACTTTGTGTATCACTTCATTTCCTAACCTGCGGGTGTTTTACACAACAATGGGAAGAAATGCATTTTTAAATGCAGGAAAACAGAAAGGTAAAGTTAAAATACAGGGTATTCAGGCTGACTGATTTAAAGAAATACCGTAAATTTTGAAAGCTGAGGTACTGACAATCTGGGCAGTACCAAGAAACCAGAGGTCTGAGCATGTCTAGCCAAACGGCAGGTATTTCCATGTGGCAGAACAATGCACATATTCTGTTGCTAGGTCTGCACTTTTAAAACCCCAACAGCATTGCTGGTTCGAGGAGTTCCACACCTAAGTCCCACGGGCTGTCTGGAGTCACCTGCAATCACGCCTTGTCTTTGTGACAGGATGTTCTTTAATGTCTATCAACAACACTGAATTAATTCACTTACTCTCTTAACCCAAATGAAAATATAAGACCTGATGCACAGTAACCAGTGTTCTGTTAATGGAAAAACCTCCCAAGTTAAGTTTTAATTTAGCAAGCAACAACACGGGTTGCTTGCTTTTTGTCCTTCACAGATTGCCATGAGTACTACTGTCACTTGTGAGAACTGTACGTGAACTGCTCTGTTTGGAGCATTGATTCTGTACCAAAAGCATAAACTTTGCAATATACCAACCAGTTCAATCAGTAAAACACCATTCCCAGTTCCAATGTCAAGGACAGAGCTGTCCAGGGGGACCTTTTGTTTTTCCAGCCATCTGATTATGCGAACCATGCTTTCTTCTCCAAACCTGCGAAAAACAACGGCTCAGGTAATCAAGACAGCAAAGACGCATGAAAGGCACAGTAAATTTATCTCACCACTCCCTCCCTCCAGCTTCTGCAAAGCACCTCTTACAGAACCACTTGGGTAACAACTGCCATAGCTCAGATTCCACGCCTGCTTTGCTGAAGTTAAAATTAATCAGATGGCCTTAAAACTCATAGAAATAGCAGCTTTGGGAGGTGAAGCCCTCCATATATTAAAAAAGACGAGAGCGCTGTCAACTTGCCTAGTTAAACCTGAGCTCAGGGATAAAATTAAAATTTATTAGTAACATACACCACAACCACCAGCTCACTTGCTGTGTAAAGACACTCGTCCAAGTGCAACTTAGAAGCTGGCATGGCAAAACTGGCCAAGGGAGGAACCAGTGGCTTCAAGGTTAAAGTTTCCCATCATTTTGCCAACATCCAGAACTATTCAGTGACCAACCAAACGTCCGGCTGCGTTTTCACAATGTCAATTTTAGAAAATAAGAGAAACGCTCCACTGGAGTTATTCCATTTACCAAATTTCACCAGCATCTCCAATGTCTCGAAAAGTCTGCAGCTCTCTTTCGTACGCAGCATCCCAGCTAGATGCGGGGGGAGAAGGACAGGACATCGCAATTAACACCAGAAAAGATTTAATTAACCAGCGAGGGGAAGAAAGGGCGAGAAGGCTGCACCTAACGCAGCC